AATACTGGACAAGTATACAAATTTTATTACCATATCTAACACACGGGTGAAGCTGCAAGCGGAAGCTAGTGTTGAAAAATTCGAAAGACGTATACGAGTACCATAGTTACAGCCATGTAAACCCATATTTATAAATGTACAACAAAGAAAATGGTCTTTGGTCACTATACCATGGGAACTATTGTTTCAAGCGGACTACATCACATTATTTCCTAGCCTCACAATGTTTGTTTTAAAACATTTACTTAACGCCATCGCAGGTATTAAGTGATTTCTTTGATGAGGTATATATTTTTCTTATTTTTGTATATGGCTCTTTCGTAATTTTTTGAAAATTTTGCCGACGTCAAGGTTGGAGATGACACTGTGATCGGTGTATAAAAACGCAAACGTTACCACAGATTACATTTTTGGCATCAGTATCAATCACATAATACCCCCTGATAGTTATCTATACTAATACTATAAAAAGGTAAAGTTTGTAAGCTTGTATGTAGGGGGTAATCATTGAAACCGCTGGTCGGATTGCCAAAATTCTTTCACTGATAGATAGCTACAATGTTAGCTACATCACGCTACGATTTAATGGAGCCGAGCAGCAGGTGAAACCGTGAGAATAGCGAGTTTTGAAAATATATTTAATGTGCAGAACTGACCTCTCTGCAGATTTATTAAAAGTACAGACATAATAGTGTCTGTGATTATAAGTATAGATGGCCGGTAATCAGTGGTGCTTGCATTGCTGAAAAAGGACAAAATAATTTGATAGTATTGACGTCACAAGGGTTAGAACATAGAATGAAGGAGACTGGTAAGTAAATGTGTAGGTTAAAACTATATGAGGGAATATGTTATAATAAGGAAAATGTAAAAGATCTAATTATATTATTAACATCCGTCTTTATTCTAGAAGTTTTCATATTATTAAGATTGAAAAAAAGAGGTTTTAATATGAAACTGTCAATAAAAAAAAAATTACTGACACAGATTAAAAAATCGTAATGCCATAGATAGGTATTGTAATTGTGATTAATGAAGTAACCCGTAACAATAACATGCATAGTTTTTATTTTTAAATAGCTATTTCGTTCATTTCAAACCACATAGAACAATGGTCGTGAAAGTTTTACTTCCGTAATTGACAAATTAAGTGACACAAAATTTCATTTAATTATAATAGGTACCTACATATTTATATTGGTGGCCCGGGGGTTTAGATGCTTATTGCTTGGTATGTCTGAGAGGCGGGTTCAAAATATCAAGTGCCAACGTGACTTTTTCCACCCATGTACGGTGATGAAAACATCGTGTAAAACCTGGAATTATATTTTTTTTATTACATGTAATTTTATTAACTACTTACTTAGCTTTTGCACGCGATTCCGTTCGCGTCGAATAGTGACTTCCTGCAGATTTTTATACAAAAAATCTGCAGCATATAAAATTCGTTTGGTTTTTAATCTTGTTCAACTGTGAAGTGAGCGTCGAAGTGACGGGGAAATTACATTACAGAATGCCATTTTAAACGTCATCTCATACTTTATCTATCAAAATGTTGCTGTCAATTTAGTTCAACTCGCATTCGGATTCAAATACGGAGTTTTGAATGAAGTCTTACACATTTACACTGCTGTTGGATAAAGATTGTTTAACTTCAGCCGTGGGTCAGTTCTTATGACAAATACAACAAGAGTAGCAATTTATTGAAAACTGCTCATTGCTCACGTGAATTAACTATGATTAATATTTAATATGACTGAATGGTTGGCGCGGTGGCTAGGCAACTGGCTGCCGTGCCACGTGTAGCGGGTCCAATTCCGCACGGAACAACTCTTTGTGTGAATTTGTATGTTTGTAAACACACCCACGACTCACGACACAGGAGAAAATCCTTACGAGTTGGATGCCCGACGTCGCCCCGTCGTGCATGCTACTCATGAAGCGGGACTCTTACCCGCTGTGGCTTGAAACCAGTCTAGTAAAGCATTTCTCAGTTACCTCACGTGGATAAGGCATTATTTTCAATTACTATTAAAAAAGAGATGGTGGCCCGGAGGTTAAGGAGCCCGCTTCTCATGCATAAGAGTGTGGGCCCGAAAACTGTCAAGTACCAGTGACTTTTTCCGAGTTACATATTCTTTCTATGATTATTTAGACACCACTGACAAACGGTGAAGGTAAACATTGTGAGGAAACCTGGGCTTATCATTTCTAATTATATGTTTGAAATCGCCAAACCGCATTGAGCAAGCGTGGTGAGTAATGCTCAAACCTTCTCCGTGTGAGAAGAGGCCTTTGATCAGCAGTGCGCAATTATAGGCTGATGATGATGATGATTAAAAAAGAGTAGCAATGGTAACAAATAATGGTAATTCATTCTGCCGGCTTAATTTAGCGTAATATTTTGCAAATTACGTAGGTACTTTATTTACATTTTAAAATAATAGAACTTTATCAATTTTGACAATAGAATGCGAAAACAATTGAACAGAAAGTTTTTTTTGTTTTTATTACAGTTGCTATTGTATGAGTTTTATATAATGGAGGGCTAGACAAAAATATATTTAAATACAAGCTTTTGCCCGCGAGTTTGTTCGCGTGGGATAGTGACTTACTGCAGATTTTTGGTTTTACTTACATAGTTTCTGATCTCGCAAAGGACATAGGATAGTTTTTATCCCGATTTTCGGTTTTCTCGAGTTTTAAGCTATGTCCATATTAGTTTGGATGGACAGTCGGTTACCATTAAGCAAGTTTAGTGTTTTTTTAAGTAATAGGTCAGCTAACGAGCAGACGGATTACCTGATGGTAAGCAATCAGTGCCACCCATAAACACTCGTAGTACCAAAGGAGTTACTCCGAGTGCGTTGCCGGCCTTTTTTGGGTTATAAGGGATTTAGGGATAGGGGTATGAGGATTGATTCACAAAAAACCGACGCGACGTGAAACAACAAGAGCGTTGTGTTTCGCCGTGTAAGTGTAAGCGTTACCATGAGCCCCCCTCCTAAATCCTTAAATCTCCAAAAACCCAAATCCCCAAAAGGTCGGTAACGAGCTCCTTAGTCTTCCGTCGTTGCGGGTCTTCATGGGCGGCGCTGATAGCTCACCATCAGGTAATAGGTACGTCTGTTTATCAAAAAACATTCTCGAACCAGCCAGGGCATGACAAGTCATTGAATGATTCGATTTTTTCTTTCCTTAAATTGAGTTTTTTATTCTCTCAAGTTGCTATCATTTAAATTTTGTTTAGCTCAAAGCACTGGTCGTCCTAGCCACTAGGCTATTGACAAGAACCTTGCAGAAATGGAGTGGCCGGCCCTTTCACCGGCTAACATGCATAATTACTTATGTATTCTCTAAGCTAATTCCCACGTAATGAATGTGAGGTTCCTCCCATACACATGCGTGCATGGTTGGCTAACTACACTTACGCAACATCTAAAGTGCGAATTTTCCTGGAATTTGCACATTTATCTGATTACTATAGCGTCCGCCCGCGGCTATGTTGATATGTTGATAAAAAGTAGCCTAATTCCTATTCCGGAGAGTATCCTACGCCTGTACCAAGTTTCATTCAGATCGGTCCAGTCGTTTTGGCGTGATTGAGTAACAAACATCCAAACATCGTAATTTTCGCATTTATAATATTAATATGAGAAAGATTAAAGATGATATACCTATTGATGTTTTGAAAAGTTAACAGAACTATGCACACGGAAAACCTGAATTAGCAATCAGTTTGATGGACACCTGCATTTTTCTTTTTGTCAGGGAAAAATCATCCAATTACTTCTCCCGCCCAGGGTAAGGCGAGAGAGAGTGTCAGACTCTTACTGACTAAAAACCCCCCCGTTCCTTCTCCTACTCTGGGCTGAGGTCGCAGTGCCTCATTGCGTTTACCCCGCAGCCCTGGCTAAACATCAGCCCTATTGGGCACCGGGACCCTATTGGGACTGTGGTGGTCTACTGGCTCTTTGAGGCGCGCGCGGAACGCTACGTGTCGTACGCTCGGGTCCGGTTCTGGTCGGGCGGCGAGCTACCCTTACTCGCCGTCCGCAGACCCGCGCTTACGGTGGCCGGAGATCACACCTGCAATATCTGAGGAGTTGCATGTGCTTGGTCGGCCTTCTGGGGCTAAGGGGTCTGACCGCTGTCTTAATGTATAGGGAGAACCATACTTCTGCACAAATGGACGTGCTCAACCGGAGTAATACCACGCGGTCTCACAGAACCGGTGTGAAGCAAGACTTACATTGTGTTTCGCCGTGTGAGTGAGGTTACTGGAGACCCAGCTCTTCCTCTCCCATCTTCAATCCTCAAATCCCCCATCCCAGAAGAAGCCGACAACGCACTTTTAGTAATTCCTTTGGTACTACCTACTAGAGTCAATGGACAGCGTTGATTGCTTACCATCAGGTAATGCGTCTGCTCGTTTGCCAACTTATGACATAAAAAATAAAAATAAAAATTAATGTAAGTATAAATATCTCCCATGTATGGGACTTGGAGACTGAGAATTACATGAACCTATTTTACCGACAGACACTGAGCTTTTTATAAGTAACAACAAGAAAGTTCACAAGTGTGGGAGAGCCATGCTTCGGCACGAATGGGTCAGCTCGACCGGAGTGGCCTCACAGAAAACCGGTGTGAAGTAACCACAGCGTTGCGTTTCGCCGTGTGAGTGAGGTTACCGGAGGCCCAAACCTTCCCCTTCCCCAATCCCTCCTCAATCCCTAAATCTTCAAATCCCTAAAAGGTCGGCAACGCACTCGTAACTCCTCCGTTGCTTGATTGCAACGGAGGAGTTACGAGTGCGTTGCCATTGCAAGCAATCAGCGCCGCCCATGGACACCCGTCCATGGGCGGCGCTGATTGCTTACCATCAGGTAATCAGTCTGCTCCTTTGCCGACCTACGATAAAATAATAAAATAAAAAATATATTTTGCTCACGGAAGAACCATTCTTCAGTGTATTCACACTGTCGGGCGCGATCGGAATGAAACCAAGTGAGACCAAAAGTAAAAAAAAAGATTACGAGGTTGGTACTCAATTTTTTTTAACTTCTCTAAAAATAACATCTAACATTTCGTTGTTATACATTTACAGGTGTTCCTTGTAGCTCTGCTAGCAGCAGTAGCATCCAGTGAGCCCCCAGTAGGATACAACTACCAGCAACCAGCCAGGCACAACAGCTACAATTCACCAACCAACAGCTATTTGCCGCCTACCACTGGTCAGTAGACTAACAGTACTTTTTTTTTATGAGGGGAGAGTCATCAAATTACTTTTCCCGCCCAAGGCCGGGCGGGAGGGAGTGTCAGACTCTTACTGACTAAAAACCCCCCTGTTCCTTCTCCTGCTCTGGGCCGAGGTCGCGGTGCCTCATTGCGCTTACCCCGCAACACCGGCAGACTAACAGTATAGACTTTAAAATTATAATGAACGATCTAGCATGGGAAACTTCGTCCCGCCGCAAAGACAACGAATAGGTATTTCATTTTTTATTTAAGTTATTTTTTCTGACCTTTCAAACCTTCCCTGTATATCCAGGTATATTTTAAGACCACAATATTATATTTCAAGGCCTTTCTCGAGTTCGAAAGAACAGAAATTCATACAATATTAATTAATGACTGACTGATGATAATTAATTAGTTATTACGTAGACATTTCAATAATGAACAAAACTCCTTCTTTCTTCTTCTTCTTTGCAAATAGAACGTCTATTTGCAAAGCCCCCCATTAGGATTTTCTCCTGTATCGTGGGTGCATTTACAAACATACATATTCACATTCACGTCACACCCAGATTTGGAACTACAGTTTATGACCACACAGAGTTGTTACGGCCGAATTTTCTTTGTCAATTCATTTTTTGTTAAAAAAAGATAACTATAGCACAACTTACTCGCATTTTTTTTTATACAAACGTTGCTCTACACTGGGATTTTCTCCTGTGTCGTGGGTGCGTTTACAAACACACAATTTCACATACACATGACACCAAGACCCGAAACAACAAATTGTGGATCACACAAAGTGTTGTTCCGTGCGAGAATCGCACCCATGATAACTCATGTATTGCTACCACCAGGTTTCACAGCACCTAGCAACAACTACTTGCCTCCGACCTTCGGCTCTGGTGCCCAGAACTATGACCACGGGCATGGGCACAACCACGGACATGGCCACGGACATGGACACGGCCATGATAGTGAAGTTGTAAGTATAATGCTCTAATGAAGTATTTATATTGTATCTTATATATAAAACTAGCTGTTATCCGCGGCGTCGCTCGTCGTCGTTTGACTACCTACCTTACTTTTCCTACCCTACTCTACTTACCCTACTCTACCTACCCTACTCTAGCTAACCTACATTAGCTACTCTATCCTATCCTTATATCTTATCCTTCTTCAAGTTCTTAGCTACCTCTCTAAGAATTTTCAGCCAAATCGGTTCAGCCGTTCTTGAGTTATAAATATTGTAACTAACAAGACTTTCTTTTATATACAACTAGCTCTTACCCTTACCGTAATTTGACTACCTAACCTACTCTACCTACCCTGCATACCCTACTCTACTTACCCTACCTACCCTACTCTACCTACCCTACACTTCCTAACCTACTCTTCCTACACTACTCTACCTACCCTACTCTACCTACCCTACTCTACCTACCCTACTCTACCTACCCTACTCTACCTACCCTACTCTACCAACCCTACCCTACTCTACCTACCCTACTCTACCTACCCTACTCTACCTACCCTACTCTACCTACCCTACTCTACCTACCCTACTCTACCTACTCTATCCTATGTCCTTCTCCTGGCTCTAAACTATCTCCCTGCCAATTTTCAGTTAAATCGGATCAGCCGTTCTTGAGTTATAAGTGGTGTAACTAACACAACTTTCTTTTATTATAGATATAGATTTAGCCTGTTTGTTTGCTTCTTGCATTAACCATTCGCTCATCTTGACGACGAAGACTCGACTGGTAGAAAATGCCCAGGCTATTGAGTCCGCCTATGTAATGTACCCATTGTACATGAAGTTTTAACAAATAAATAATAAGTAAATACTAGCGACTAAATCTCTTAGCGACTAAATAAAGTGATTAATAGCAATTACCTTTCTTAAAGTTTATTCTTTACTTTTATGCTCCAAAAATGTGGTTTTGGTAAAACTAGAATAAGGTAACGATTCCCTACAAAACTCCCACGCATAATTTTCAATCTCTCTCGAGACATTGGTGTATCTATCGCAAATAGAATGGTTCAATTCGAAGTACCTATTAGTTCCAAAGATAAGAGTTTTTTTAAACAAACAAAGTCTTCGGCTTTATGATGTTAGTACGGATTGTTTTTATCTTAAACTAGCCGTCCGCTTCCGCGTCGCACGGGTCTGACGGTTCCAACGATCTCGCTCACAACGAATGGTCACTTTTCCCAATTTTCCCTCCACTTATCTAATTTTTTCTTAGATAAGAACCTACTCCTGATAATAATAAATACAACAAAAAAAAGAATTAGCAAAATTAGTCCAGGCTTGGTTGAGTTATACCCACATTTTGCGATTCATTTTTATTTATGTAGATTATTCTGGGCTTTAAACGAGACTGTAATTTAAGATTTTACTATGACGTTTGTACTCCGAGAAGACAGATAGGAAAAGCCGGTCTTATCTATATATTTTTGTTTACAAGAAAAAGGGGCGTTTTCTAGTAGCGTAGTCTAATTCCCTATATTATATTACTGAACTTCGCACTCCATACAAAATGCTGAAATTCAGTCAAATCTATTCAAGACAGAAAATAAGAATAAATGTTTTTTACGTCCTAAATCCATATAGTCACAATAGTCCGTTGCGATAATCAAATCGACCAAATTCTTTACTTAATAGAATTTATATTTCTAACTACTTTTCAAAACAAATTGAGACAATAGTCTAAATAAAGTCATTCATAATGTTACAACAATGACGTCATTCTAAAGATTAGCATTTATCAGCTAACGTGGTTAATTAGAAAGTTACATCATATTCGTTAAGTGGTTGTAATGGGGACATGAGGAAGCATTTCGGACCAACTAGAGTCCTATACGCATGCTTTTAGTACATTTTTGTTTTCTGATGCACTAACGAGTTCTAAGTACCAATTAGCATCGCTATCTGATAAATCTGAACTCTTAAATTCACATATTGTGTCTTCAATTACTACAATTGAAGGGTTAACCGCAACCTCCACCCCACAAATATTTTGATTTCAGTTACCATCACCAACTGTTTACATGGGTTAATTATAAATTCCCAGAACAATAAATACAACTTTGTTTACATTACAAAATTTAATAAACAAACTTTAAGATTAATTAGTCTTCATGCGCACATTATAGATATGATAAGAATTAATCGGCCTTAACCTATAGATATCGTCATCGATGCTGTAATATATGTCACCATAATCTCCAAAGATCATGCTTGATGGGAAAAAGTTTATATTAGCTACTTTCCTAGCCGTACCATTGAAACAGTCAATTTCATGTATACCATCATCGGATAGTCCAAAAGTCTTTTCACCTTCAACAAAAAAGTGATACACGACACGCAAATCTTTGTTTTTAATCACTTCTTGGCTATTATAAGCACAGAAAACTCCACACATAGTCACTATATGCACATTCTTTTGGTTGTCCACTTCAAATTCCATCACAGTCTTCATATTTCCAAATTTCACAGCTGTCTGCCCTTGATTGAAGATCTTGTAAATCATATGATCATTAGCATCGATTAAGTACATCGCATTATTCCTTATAACTATTTTGAAAACATTCATGTTATATAAACCAATATTTGTAGCCACGTTGTATATAGGATCGTATTTATATAATCCATCGTCTGATCCGAAATACACTTCACTTGTATCTGGGTCAACTGCAGTCGCTTTATTTCTTGCTATACCTTCAATTTTCATTGCTTGCTTTGTTACCACATTAACGAAAGCACGTCTCGAATTCTGTGCTACGTCGTCCATGTACATGAAAAATAGATTTCTGCTAGAAGAGTCGTATGCTAATTCTTTTGGACTTGGAAAAGCGTTCGTAAGTAGTTCTTTTCTGTATATTCTCGTTCCTATTTTTTCAATAGGTGTGTCGGTTAGGAATACCGTCAATTTAGCGTCGACACACGCGAGTATCGCGACAAATAACACTTTGTTGGACATTTTTGAGCGTGCGACACAAACTGAATCAGCTTCACCACTGGCATTGTTAATGTTTTGATTACTTATCTTAGTTTTACCAACATTATTATTACCGTCCTTTCCACTGTTTGCATTCGAATTTCGTTCTTCTGCATTTGTGATAAAGGTTTCATGTGTTTTTATTAATGTTTCCTGTAAATCTGTTTGTCTGCACGCTCAGCTGACTTCTCGTAAATGAGCAAATTGTTGTAAACAATTTTAGAGGTCGTCTCATGTCTGTGCTCCATGTGTTGGGATTTACGTGGCCAGTGGGAACGTAATTGAGCTTGTTAAGCTGTGGTATGAATTAGTGGAATTTCTTGACTGATTTAATAGTCTGGAACTTTTATTCGTAACGTCCCTTGTTGGGTTTTTATTAGGGCTTTAATTATTTGATAAGTGTCGCCTTCCTACGATGACTCGTGTCGTTCAAGGAATATAGTACTTTAACTGATGTCTTACAAGATTTGCTGGATCTGAAAATCACACTATTAACTTTTTTTTCATTTTTAATTTATTTAAAAACAAAGAATGTAGTAGCGAATGGCTCAATGGAGATTTGCTATGTTAAATGCTGTCAGATCAGTCAAGTCTGAAGACTTAACGCCATTCCCCACTAAGGAAAAAAATAAAAGAAAAGAAAATATCTTAAATTGTATAGTTAACTGCTCATGACAAGTGAATTAGCTCCTAGCACTTATAGCGTGGCTTGAAACAAAGTTACGTGAGTAAGTTGTAGAACAAAATTAATCTATATATAATATAAAAATGTATCGCAAAATATGTTGGTAAGCGCATAACCCAATAACGCCTGGCCCAATTCTACTGATTCTTTTTTTGTTATGTGTGTTATTGTCAGGAGAAGGTTCTTATGAAAGAAAATTTTAGAAAAGTAGCGGGAAGAGTTGGGTTATAGGGACCATCGTAAGCGAGATGATGAGACCCGTGCGGGCGTCGGGCGACCTGCTAGTTAAGTATAAAACTGTATTTGCTTTTCAGCCCAAATCGTATGAATTCGGTTACTCAGTGAAGGACGCGCAGTCAGGCAATGACTATGACCGTAAAGAGAGCTCGGATGGGAATGTGGTGCGTGGTGAATACCGTGTTCATCTCCCTGATGGACGGACGCAGATTGGTAAGTTAGCCTACCTATACATTTAAGTTTTATACAGGGTGTAAAAAGACACTTAACGAAGCCGAAAGCCACGTATTCTACCCATTATTTGGATTATTTTTTTCTTTAAGACCATAGCTGGGACTCCACGTGTTCTCGAGATATTGAAGGTCAAAGATGCATTTTTATTTTTTTATTTTTTTTTGCGCAATCGATTTCTAAGTATTATTACAAAACTTTTGCCAAACAGACATTACCTGAATTTTCGATTTTTCTAAATAAATTACGCATTTGAAGTTACGAACAGTAATGTACGTAATAAATAAATGCAGACCCGCACAAAAAACATCGTGCATCTCAGTAGGATTTTTATTTTACAGAATTGTTTTGTTGTTGCGAAGTAAAACGTCGACGTACGTACTAAGCTGTGAACCTACGCACACAATGACACGAAGCCCGTTTGCTTTACATTGCGCGCAACAAAATTATTATTTTTTAATAAAAGTCGTTTCCCAGTGATAATTTTAGCGTAAAGCTACTTAGTTAGAAATGCAGTATGCGTAGTTAACGGCTTCGTTAAGTGTCTTTTTACACCCTGTATTTTACCTACTAGCTATCCGCTCTCTGCTCCTGCAGATCGTAGCGTGGTTTTTTAGTCTTTCTTCTCAGCTTTTTTCGATAAATGAATTGTTCTATTTAAAGCAGTAGTTTGGGAGATAAGCGCGTTCAAACAAACAAACTCTTCAGCTTTATAATATTAGTATAGACTAGCGACCCTGCCCAGCTTCACTCGGATGCAATGCTGATACTAAATTTCTCCAGTATTTAATGCATGTACCTAAAATTGCCTCTTCAATAACTCTTTCTATTAAAAAAATCGCATCAAAATCCATTGCGTAGTTTCACAGATTTAAGTACCTATACATAGGGGCAGAGAAAGAGACTCAATTAGACTTATAAAACGTAAAGATATTCCTTTGATTGTATACATTATTAGCGACCCAACCATTGCTTCGGACGTGTATTCAACAAACCCCTCTTTCCGTAAAACCTTCTTAAAACTGTAATCCGCAAAATGTCGGCAAATCCCTTCAAAGGGATGATAAAGATGAACTGAGCTTAATTCTTCTAAAATCTATATCCTTCTTCTTTAGTGACATACCACGCAGACTGGCAGACCGGTTTCCACGCCGACGTGAGGTATGAAGGCCAAGCGAAATACCCGGAGCCTACAACTTACAACAATAAGCAAGGTATGTGTATTGTAATATGGTACTTTCCAACTAGTAAAATTCAATACTTTTATCCATTCCTCCCCCTATCCCTCCTCAATCCCTTAATCTCCAAATCGCTAATCCCTAAAAGGTCGGCAATGCTCTCGTAACTCCTCCGTTGCGGGTGTCCATGGGCGGCGCTGTTTACTTCCCATCAGGTAATCCGACTGCTCGTTTGCCGACCTATTACATAAAAAAAACCTATCTACTTAACCTTCAAAACTTCAACCAAATCAGTTCAGCCGTTTTTGAGTGAAGGAATGACAAACATACAACCATCCACACATTCTCAAAAACTTTCACATTTATAATATTAGTTGTATTAGTTGAATATAGCTTAGCAATTATGTTCATGCAAACTAAACAGGTATCAAATCGATTGAAGATATCTATTTTAAAATTTAGTATCAAAATTGCACTACACATACATATGTAAGTACAGACATTACAAGTAAAAGAAAACTGCCTTATGCGGGTTCGAAGCCTAGCAAGTACCGTTTGATTATTTAGTCGCCACTGACATACGGTGAAGGAAAACATCGTGAGGAAACCTGGACTTATAATGTCTGGCTATAAGTTTGAAATCGCCAATCCGCTTTACGCAAGCGTTGTGTGAGCTGAGCAAAGGCCTTTTGCCTTTGCTCAGCAGTGGGCACTTATAGGCTGATGTCAAAGTCAAGTCAAAGTCAAAATCATTTATTTCAATTAGACCCATACAGGCACTTTTGAAGGTCAAACAAAATTTTAAAGATATAAAGTGTCAGTCTGTCGGTCAGTCCTCTTAGTGAAGCTATTTGCTCGTTCCAAAAGGTAGATTCCGATGGAGAAGAACGAGCAAGAAACTCCACAACCTTTTTAAATCAGTCACACATAAAGATTCTATGATACATTATTTAGTTGGTTTGATTATGTAATTGATGTAATTAAAAAACGGGTTTAAATAAATTTATGAAAATTTCAGGAGGATACAACTACAATGCGCCAACCCCAAGCGACTTTAGTGGTTCGTTAACCGGTTTCCATGGCAACCAAGGTTATAAACCAACAACTGCTTACGGAACTCCCAGTTACCATTGATTTTACCATAACAGGTTACCAAAAACCAAACGACTGTTGTTACCATAGAGTTTAAGCTACCATTTTTGTACAGTAAGAGTTAAAAATAGACGAATAAGCAATCCTCTGAAAAACTTTATTGAATCATTAAGAAACATTTTGTTATTGTTAATAGAGTCAAAACAGTCAAAGAATTACCTAATTGTAGTTCATATGTTTACAAAAATCACGATAAAATTAATATTACTTATATAAATGACGTCAATTATTACAAATGTACAAACTTACTAAGGGCTGATTTTTCAATACTCAAAAAATGTTAACCGATGAATAAAATTGTTGCTGTCACTGTCTTATACAAACATTAAGACGCGACAACAACATAATTATTCCCCAGGTAACTTTTATCTTAAAATTGAAAAATCAGCCCTAAGGTAAATAAAAAAACACTCATAATTTTAAGATTTTTTTAATGAAAACTTTTTTGTAATAAACATTTTTATTGAAAGCTACATGCGTTTTATTTGCAAAAAAAAGAATGTTTTTCTTTTTTCACAAGCCAATTCTAAACAAATCTATCTTGGGTTTAGATTTGTTCTTTTTAATATTAACCGACTTATTGCAATAGCAGTACTTATTTAGATGCGGGTGTGTGTCACTGATGCAACTTGATTCGTCACCATATCTGAAACAAATTATTTCCACCCTTATTACAAAACAAGATTTATCTTTAGCCTAGGTTTAAACTTTAAACCATTCAGTCGGGTTTTGTATTTTGAATCTTATTCTCATCCACCTTTAATTTGAAATACAAAAGCTGGCTCAATGGTTTAGTCCTAGAAAAACCTTGATTTGTAAAAAGGTCATTTAACTTTTGACTACACGGTTGGCACGGTGGCTAGGCAACTGGCTGTCACGCAACGTGTCGCTATGGGTTCGATTCCCGCAGAGAACAACTCTTTGTGTAATCCACAAATTGTTGTTCCGGGTCTGGGTGTTATGTGTATGTGAAATTGTATGTTTGTAAACGCACCCACGCCACAGGCTAAAATTGCCGATTTTCCGTTCACGAAAGAAACAAAATTCTCTGATACTCTTTTGACACAAAATTTGACCTTTTTTGCCCAAGGAACCGTACCCAAGTGACATTATAATGAAAACAAGTTTTGGTGGCATATTGTTACAATTTTTTTAGACATCGCAGATGGCGCTAATGTAGTATTCAGTTCATTCGTTTTTTTTTAGTTTTTTTTTATTTATTTATCACCAACATACAACTATTATCACAGGAGTTTCCTAATACAATAGTGCAGTAACATTATAAAGAAATACATAAACAATACGAAGAAACCTTACATGCTAATTATAAAATAAAATTACATAAACTTTCCTATATTTAACAACTCGCAGTTGAATCTGTATAGCTGTCAAAAGTTAATGTCCTATGATAAAACACTGGCTGATTCTCTATTCGACAAACACGAGCAGAAATCACGCTAGACTACGCTTTGGCTGGACCGCATTCAGCGACAAGCTGTTCGAATCGTTGACTGTCCTGTTCTCCCGGATCTGCTGGATTTTTTGGCACTGCGTAGGGATGTAGCCTCGCTATGTCACGGGTATATACGGTATCGCATATATCACGGGTTGTGTTCTGATGAATTGTTCGGTTTGATCACCGCCTAATCTTTTCGCCATTGTTCTACTCAAAACGTCTTCATCCCCAACACTCCCAACACATAGATGGTTGGCAGTCAACAACTGTGCGATTTACACAAAACTTTCTGCCTCGCACAGCAAATCTTTGGAATTATCTTTCGGCGGTGGTATTTTCGAACCGATACGACCTTGAAACCTTCCAGAAACGAGCGTACGTCTTCGTAAAAGGCCGGGAACGCGCCTGTGACTCCTCTTGTGCTGAAGGTGTCCATGGGCGGCACTGATCACTTACCATCAGGTGATGCGCATGCTCCTTTGCGTCCTATTCCATAAAAAAGCACTAGCGCCCCTAGGCAAACGAAAACGGTAACCCTCATTTGACACTTACGCGTTAACTCTAGATATATCCCTTTCAGCAACCATGAAGAAATCTTTGCTAGGTATATAGATCATAGTGCCCTCATATATGGCGTGACCGGGATCCATCACAATCTGAAAAAAAAAACAAATTCGAGCAAATTAGCAAAATTTTCACCCACCGCCTGGCTCCGCAGTTGAGGTTCGATTACCCCACTCACGAAGTGAATGGATATTATTGGATCTTCGATGAGACCCAATACTCCAATCTTTCGTAATCCCTAGGTCCCAAGGTCGGCAACGTTCTCAAAACGCCTATGTTGTTGCAGCAATCAGCGCCGCTTACCATCAGGTAATCTGTTTGCTCGTTTGCCGTCCTATCACATAAAAAGACACACAATAACTGAGAAAGACTCGTAAATGGTTTTAACTTTCCATTCGTCGCATCCCCGACGGGTATTAGTCTGCCAGATAGTCAGGTGGGCTCCGTCACCCACTGCGGCCATCATCACGACCGCAGGACTTCACTGTGAGGCGCGCGCGGAACACGGCGCCGCCGCTTCGAGACCTGATGCTGATCGGACGACAAGACCCCCCGAAGACGATAAGGCCGACGAATATAAGCTCCTAGTGTAGCTTGAAACTAGTCTAAATCTGAATTTGGTACAGAAGCTACCTACAACACTACATGGGCTACCTTTTATCTAAATAAAGTGGACAAAGCCATTAGCAGAAGCTATAGTATATAAATATATACTATATAAATATTATAAAGAGGTAAAATTAGTAATTTGTAAGGTTGTATGTAGCGGGTAATCTCTGAAACAGCTGGTCGAATTTATATGACTATACAATGTTCCTGAGCGTGATAGGCTATACAACATCAAGCTACGATTAAAGGGCTGCGTATGAAAACGTGCGAGAGTAGCTAGTAATAGTAAATTATAAAGTTTATTAAGTTACCCTGATTTGATAATAATCATCGGGTGTCTTGACATCGCCAAGATAAGCGTGATGATGACTCAACTTCTGTTTCTCAAAATAATTGTACAGTTTAGACTGGTAATCTTTGCCAGTCTGGTGTACTACCCAATCTATTTTTACTAGATACCTAGGTAAGCATTGAGATCTGAAATTAGAAAAATATTTTAAGTACTAAGGATGTTAGACATGATACTTAAGTTAATAAATGTGGAGAGTCTCCCCACACCTCACAAAGTTGAAATTTTTGATGTTATTTTATTGCTTGACGGTCAATAATAATCTATTTGAATTAAATGATTTGGCTTTGACTTCCTCAATCCCCAAATCATAAATATATATATCATCATCAATATCATAATAATCATAATAAATAGGTTCATTGAAAACTAAAAAAATAAATAAGAATTTTCTAGTTTTGGAAAGGCAGAGTAGCTTTTATAGGAAGCCTAGCCTATATTACACTTAAATAATAAAAAAAATATTATTAAAAAAACAAAATACCCGACTGCACACTAAAAAAAGAGTAAAACAAGCCCCACAATACAAATTTACTGAATATAATTTATAAATGTTGATGGAAAGCATCGCAGGCGGGGACCAACAGAGGCTTATTTATAGTCATTTCTGTTGTGCACCATTTAGCAGAATTTTCGTTGGTGGCGGTCAAGGTGGTCCCCGCCTGCGATGCTTTCCATCAACATTTATAAATTATATTCAGTAAATTTGTATTGTGGGGCTTGTTTTACTCTTTTTTTAGTGTGCAGTCGGGTATTTTGTTTTTTTAATAATATTTTTTTTATTTATAACTTTTTAGCTGTTTTTATTTAACGAAAATGTTGTAGATGTAGAAGACTATGTATATGTAAGTACCATTTTAAATTATTTCGACGACATTTGGCTTTAGATTACGAGTGATGTTACTCCGCAACATAAATTTACCGCCAATCTGGACTGTTGGTAGTGAAGAAGAAAAAGAATTAGGGGCTGTATACTCGAGCATATCCCCCTCCGCACCGCGCCGCGCGCCGCATGCCAGGCCACGCCCTATCTTTTTGCTTGCTAACGCATGAGTTGCTTTGCGTTGACGCAGAATTAACATGTTCCCGTGGGAATTTTGAAAAAAAACGTATCCTATATTAATTACTCCCGTGATTGAAATGAATCTAATGATACCGCATACATATTTTTTTAAAGGGAAATTTAGAAAAAATATTATTATGTCTTTATCCCGTGGGACTTTTAGGATAAAATGTATCCTATGACACTCCCGTAATCAAGACAAATCTAACAATACCTCATACATCAAAATCCATCAAGCCGTTTAGGCTACAGGAGGTCACAAAGGAAAAGACATACATACATACTTACATACACTCGAAAAACATTACCCTCCTTCTTTGGCAGTCGGGATAAAATATGGGGCCCCTCTGAAATCCTATCTATGACAAATCATATCTTTATGTTTAGGTAGAGATCAGGAGCTGGGCGTTCGCTGGTGAAGCCACCACGGCTAGTTATTGATTGACAAAATGTCCATTCGATGCAACGAATCCACGCTGAGTATACGAGTAGAAGAAAGTATTACAGCAACAGTTAATAGGCCCCATGTTTTTATTAAACATACTTACATTTTAATTTCTAATTTTAATTGTTAAATAGCTTACGGGTCGAGCTAAATAAATCCCCTGTAAAAAACAAAATAAATCCTCACCGTTCCTCTTCGCTGATGCTGTTTATGTACTCAGCAAGTTGCATAGCAACTTGGTCGTAGAATTGATCAGACTTGGACAAGTTAGTCCAAGTTCCACATGTACACCAATGTGGCATAATTCCAGCTTCACCACACGAACGTGTATCTGGTATCTGAAGGTAGAAAAGCGACTAAAGAATAATCTGATCTGGTCCGCTGTTGTCGGAGTGGTAAGACCTTTCTTTGAAGAGTGGTTAAATAGACCTCACCTTTGGGAATTTTGGCAGGTACCTGTTTCGGTTCCAGCGGGAGGAAACGCCTTGATATCGTATCGTTCTGTGATGGTCTCTTCTCAAAAAAGACCTGATACTGACCACTACAGACAATAGTTTAATGGCTGTAACCACGTCTTCTTGTGTTCCATGGCTGCGTCCTTTGCTTACCAGCAGATCGTACGAAGAATTATCAAATGATGTAGCTTCGAGAGACTCGATTTGTGCGACTTCACCAAACTAGTCATCGTGTCATTTGAAAACAAATCACTGTATAGTATAAAACAAAATAGCTTTCTCTGTCCATTAAGCTAGCTTGTTTTGTAGGTTTAAAACTACGCAACGGATTTTGATGCGGTTTTTGAATAGATAGCTATTCAAGAGTAAGGTTATAGGTGTTATAACATCTATTAAATACTAGCGGCCCTCCCCCGCTTCGCACGGGTCCAACTATCTCGCTATCAAAGGGTCACTTTTTCCTAATCATCTCCTCTACTTTTCTAATATTTTTTACTATTTTCTTTACTAAGAACCTTCTCCTGACAATAATAAACACAATAAAAAAAGAATAATCATAATTGGTCCAGGCTTTTTGAGTTATGTGCTTACCAACAAATTTTGCGATTCATTTTTATATACAGGGTGTAAAAAGACACTTAACGAAGCCGTTAACTACGCATACTGCAATTCCAACTAAGTAGCTTTACGCTAAAATTATCACTGGAAAACGACTTTTATTTTTAGGTATCAAAAAAAAAAAAAAAATTATTGCGCGCAATGTAAAGCAAACGGGCTTCGTGTCATTGTGTGCGTAGGTTCACAGCTTAGCATGAAAACGCTGTGATAAGTATGTAGGTCGACGTTTAATTCTGTAAAATAAAAATCCTACTGTGATGCACGATGTTTTTTGTGCGGGTCTGCATTTATTTATTACGTACATTACTGTTCGTAACTTCAAATGCGTAATTTACTTAGAAAAATCGAAAATTCAGGTAATGTTTGTTTGGAAAAAAGTTTTGTAATAATACTTAGAATTCGATTGCGCAAAAAAAAAATTAAAAATGCATCTTTGACCTTCAATATCTCGAGAACCCGTGGAGCCCCAGATATGGTCTTAAAGAAAAAAAATATCCAAATAATGGGTAGAATACGTGGCTTTCGGCTTCGTTGAGTGTCTTTTTACACCCTGTATAAGATTAGGGATATTTAGTATTAGTATAGCACCCGTGCGAAGCCGGAGCGGGTCTCTAGTTTACTTCACCAATACCAGCGTTCGCGCAACTATTGTTCTTCTGTTGTGTCTCGAATTACCACAATTGAAAGTTTCAAATACTTTATTACCGGTCCCAATAGGCTCATTGCTCTTGGAAGGTCAAATCCGTCCAATTTATCTGGTGGCTCCACTTCATCTACACCTAGCACGTCTAGGATCGTTGTGAAGATATCCAAAGGTGTCGTCAATACATCCTTGTTGTTCACTAAAGCCTTTAGAGCTAACGGTCTAGCTTTTATCAGTTTATGTGGTAGAATAATCGCCATTAAGGGAAGCCTTTCTTCTAACATTCCCTGATGTGTACTCCTGATCGGGGAGAACCTGAAGAAATTGGAAAAAATATGAGAAAGAACAGATCTACTTTGCACAATGAAATAAAATAACTTTTGCAAATTTTTTTTTTGTTCTTTTCGCCAAAACTTGCAGACGGATTACCTGATGGTAAGCAATCACGCCGCCCATGGACACCCGCAACGAAGGGGTTACGAGTGCGTTGCCGACATTTTAAGGATTACGGTTTTGGAGATTTAGGAATTGGGGAGGGATCGGGGGAGGTGAAGGATTAGGCCTCCGTGAACCTCACTCACACGGCGAAACACACTCCGGTCGAGTCGACCCATTCGTGCTGAAGCATGGCTCTTCCACATTTATTATGTAAGTTACGCGTAGAAATAAATGTTTTCTTTGTTTAGGTTAGTTTGCCATGTAAGTTAAGTCAGGCGCCACGCCATAAACTCACGGTGCGATAAAAACATGGAAGTAAAAGGCACAGTCCGAAAGTTTTATGTACAATCAGATATGTTTTTTATTATATTTATAGAACCAGGCGTTACTTTGCGGAAATCCACGACATTAAATGTTATATCATGTATATCCAGGCTTGTTGCAGGATGAACAAAAATGCAGCTGAGCGCTTATCGAGTCCACATCAATAGGTCAATGAGTATATAGGTTTGATTGCGTGGCATGTTTTTCCATTTTTTGGACGTTTCCACATTCATGTTACTTTTGCTGCATGTGCTTATGCATGATTGTATAGGGTGGAATTAAAACTATACATATTTTTCATAACATTTTATGTTTTTTTTTATGTTGTACGACGGCAAACGAGCTTACGGAATATCTGATGGTAAGCAATCAGGGCTGCCAATGGTCACTATCAACAACAGAGGAGTTACGAGTGCTTTGCCGACCTTTTGTGGATTAGGGATTGGGGGAGGAGAAGTATTGGGCCTCCGGTAACCTCACTCACACGGCGAAACACAACTCTCTGTTTTTTCACGCCGATTTTCTATGAGGTAATCATCATTCCGGTCGAACCATGCCGTGAATGGATCACCGGCATGGCTCTCCTACAGTAATGTTGCTCCTAATATTGTGTTAGGAGCGGAAAACAACTATTTACATAGATTGTTACTTGCTCGTGGACTGCACGCGAAGAAAATTACTCTACAAATAACAAATGCGGTATGAGCATAGAGAAACAATATATCCTCTTTGGCTATGAGCCTTGACACGATTGTATCCAACCTTCTATCATTTAGACATTAAATCACTCCGTAATAAAAAAAAACTTAGTTTACTCTATGTGAAAAGACCTTAGGTGTTCTGGGTATGATGATGATGTATGATGTATGCCCAACAAAAGATCTTCTTTAAGCTAAATAATGATGAGTTGCTACCCTTACCTAGGTCCATGGTCTCCCATGACGATCAACAAAGTGTCTTCGAGGACTCTTCTAGCGGTCATCGTTTGGAGGAAGTCTAGCAGGCTATCATCAGCTGATGGAACGAACGTGAAGTTCTCAGAGGACAAGTCGTCTATTAAGCTGAAGATAAACTTCTTTCCATCTAGCAGTAGACACTAGAAAGAGAGGATGGGTTATTCAAAAAAGGATGGCAATAGAAATACTACTGATCCTACATCCTACTAATATAAATGTGAAGTTTGTGAGAAAGTGTAAATGTATGTTTGTTTTTCTTTAACGCAAAAACGACTTGACCGATTTGGTTGAAATTTAGTATGTACATAGGTGATACCCTGAATTAACACATAGGCTGTTTTAACTTTTAAACTTTCGCGTTTCATCTTAAGAACATTATATTTACGCGGGTATTAACGCGGAAAATTATAATTTGAATACCTTGGTAGGCTTGACGTTTCGACCCGGTTGCACAGGTCGTGGTCACAAGCAGACTGAAGACGCGATGTCACAGCTCCCTGCATTCGGGTGATGAATCTTCATCTACCCCCTTATTTTCATTTTCTACCATATTAGGCCGTCTACACACTACGCTGATTATATCCACAGATGTGTTAACCGACTTTGAAGGAAAGCGAGGTTGTGTTTTGCGAAGCACTGGATTCCACGTCGACGACAATTTAAAGCCGTCCTCCCGATTGAAATTATTTGGGCATTTCTTTATTTCAACCGCTTCACGCACAAGTCTTGTATGGTAGTGGCGATCAGTGGAGAGAATTTGCGGTCGGTGGAATTCTACCCAGTGATTAGAACCAGCCTGGAGCAGGTGTTCTGCTATCGCTGATTTGTTGCTCTGTCGGTTTTTGACTGCGGCGATATGTTCTTTGAGCCTCTCAGCAATGGTCCGCTTCGTTTGCCCAATGTAGGAACTACCGCAGCTGCAGTTGATCTTATAAACACCTGGGCTTTGTAGGCAATTATAATTTTCCGCGTTAATACCCGCGTAAATATAATGTTCATAGGCTGTTTTTCATCAACAAACCACGCGGGCGCAGCCGTGGGCGGAAACTAGTTGTTAAGACGTAACACAGTAAAAGGTAAGCGTATGGGTCTTCGGACGGCTAGCAAAGGTTATGGGTGTTACGGGTGACCATGGGCGACGTTGATTGCTTTCCATCAGGTGACCCGTTTGTTCGTTTACCGCACAAAGACATTACAAGACGCACTTATGTTTTATCTCATAAGTCGGCAACGGAGGAGTTACGAGTACGTTGCTGACCTTTTAGGGATTAGGGTTTTGGAGATTTAGGGATTTGGAGAGGGGAAGAATTGGCCCTCCGGTAAATCACGCTGTGGTTGTTTCGTGTGTTGTTTCTGTGAGGCCGTGGTATCACTCCGGTCGAGCCGACCCATTCGTGCTGAAGCATGGCTCTCCCACACTTAGTTACTGGAGAATTAAGGGTAGAGGGTGCTCCCCGCATTGGGCTTTCGGTATCCTCACTCAGACGGCGAAACACAACGCTGTGGTTGTTTCACGCTGGTTTTCTGTATGACCATGGTATCAATCCGGTCGAGCCGACCAATTCGTGCCGAAAGGAAAAACATGGCTTAAATGAAAGCACGTACCTCTTTAACGAAATGCATCAACATCTGGTATTGAGGAGCAGATTCTATGCAATGATGGGAAAGAGAACGATGTGGCTTTCCATTGCGGCGGGCCAAGGAATACGGGCGCAGGTAATGATCGGCTGGAGGGTAAGTAAACCTGAACTGGTATGGAGTCGCTATCAAGCCTGTATCATCGAAATACGCCGTTCGATACCTAAGAGAAGGGTAGAAAGAAAAAAAAATGGATAAAAATTTTCGATAGTATTCTATTTTATTGTTAACTAACTTTTGCCCGCGACTTCGTTAAAACTATCCTATGTCCTTTCTCGAGTTCCAAACTATGTCTGAACCAAATTTAACAGAAATCGGTTCAGTAGTTTAGGTGAGAAAAAAAGACAGACAGACAGAGTTACTTTCGAATTTATAATATTAGTTTGGATAACGACTTTCTGGTGTAAATTAACGGTCTTGCGCCTTTTATTTAAATCTCGTTTGTGTTTTGAGTCCCGTTGTGGTTTGAAACTAGTAGAGCTTTTCTCAGGTAATTCAAGTAATTAAGTTGTAATTATCTATACTAATATTATAAAGAAGTAAAATTTTTAAGTTTGTATTTTGTATGTTTTTTATTGCGAAAATTGTTTCACTGATGCTATAATTTTCCTGAGTGCTATAGGCAATAAAACATCACGCTATGATTAAAAACTAGCTAATCTCGCAGCGGGTGAAACCGCGCGTGAGTAGGTAGCTAGTTTTTAATAAAAGTATGCCTCACGATAGTGACAATGGATAATTAAACTCACCCCAAAGGTTTAAGCTGGTTGAAAATAAAATAACTTGGATTATCACGTCTCATTCCGAATTCATTCATCTCTTTTAGATCATTCTCAGATTTGCCCGTGAATAAGGGATAGAGGGCGCCAGTGGTACCATCGTTTGCAATGTTGTATCTGAAATATTTAATAAATAAAATTACTTAGTAATTTAAAAGCGTTGAAAAGTCGGTTGAAACAGAACGAAAGATAAATGCGAGCGTCTGCTAGATCATAAACGACATTTAGCAAAATAAGTGTGGGAGTGCCATGCTTCGGCACGAATGGGATGCCTCGACTGGAGTGATACCAAGGTCTAAGAGAAAACCGGGACAACATAAGTCAAAGTCAAACCGGGACAACATAAGTCAAAGTCAAATAAGTAAAAGTCAAAATTATTTATTTCAATTAGACCTATACAGGCACTTTTGAACGTCATACAAAATTTTAAAGATATAAAGGGTCAGTCCGTCCTCTTAGTGAAGCATACACAGGGACAAAGAAAGCGACTTTGTTTTATACTATGCAGTGAGAGCAAAGAGGATATAACCACTGGTTATATTATATCGTCATTGAGTGAGAGACACCCGGCGACTAGAACCACAAAAACGGGGACCGCGGTCCCAGTAGCCAGATCTGTAAAAAAGTTAAAGGCTTCCGGCGCCTAGGAACACAAGAACTTGGACTTATAACAAAATATTGTTTATTTTTAATTAAAAAAGGATTTTTCTCCTAATATTACATCAAAAATTTTTTCGACTACAATTTTTTTTTATTTCATTTATCATTCATTGATAGTCCCAGTTGCCGGAAGAAATTTTTTTTTTTTTTTACCGGTACCCGTACTGGGACTGCGGTCCGAGTTTTTGTGGTCCCTGTCTCCGGAAGCCTCTGTAGTCATATTGTATTCTTTTCTCATTACCTGTACTAACTTACCCATTTAATATTGTAGCGTTCATTTTTTCTTTAAGATATTTGTAACTTTTCTTCATGTTTCTTATAAATCCGTTGTGAGAAACGGACTCCAAGCAGAGAATTACGACGTTGTATGGTTCATTTTTATTACTATCCGGTGTCAACGTTATATTCCGAAAGCCAGTCTTCACACCACGCCAATGAACGCTTACATTAGGACTTAATAGAAAAAAGAGGAAAATTTATTAAGTATTAGCTTCCGCCAGCGGCTTTGCCCACGTGGTATGATGATAAAAAGCAGCTTGTATTAATCCAGGGCGTCATTTATCTACATACCAAATTCGGTCGAGCCGTTTTTGAGTGAAAGATATTATATTAGTAGGATTTTAAGAATATAATGATACGTATGAAAAATAAAAAATACGCTCAATGGTCCGCTTTAAGAATGGACAAAAAAATCTGGAACGTGCGAGGACTGACCAACCTACTTCTACCTACTTCTTCTTAAACGGACGGCGATGGATTTATGATTTCTCTGGTGGTGCAGGTGCCCATGAGCGGGACTGATTACTTACCATCAGGTCAAACCGAATTCTCCAGCCAGATAATATGTAAAGAAAAATATTCTGACAGAAGAACAAAATGCTGTCGATCCAACCAAGAATGTGACTGGTTATTTCCTTAGTAACCAACTAGACACAAAATCTTAGACAGATACAAATCCAGAAGAAAACGAATGCATTTCATGGAATGGTTTTATCACCATCGAACATTGATGATGATTATAAGGAAAATGATGAGGTCTGATGAAAAATATATGAAGACTAAAATATACCTACAAATGCACATCTCGGCCGGTACACTCTATTTTGACATGATCACTTCGATCCAGTTTCACTATCTCCTCACCAAATACACTTTTGTGATAACTATAGTAATAGTTTTTATGGTTAACATAGTTTATATTACTGTAATCGCATGTCACGTCTTTTACATTTTTTAGGACATTCTTAACTAGCCTGCATTCAGATTTCTGAAAATAAAAATTATTATTAGCACTCGAGCTGACGAATTACCTGAGGAGCTGAAAGAGCTATACAAGTTGTCTAGCTCTGTCTCTTACCCACACTAAAGTAAGATTAAAATACTTTGAATGTCAAGGTTACCCCCTGAGGGTAAGCAATCCATGGATACAGAAAGCCCTGAATAGGGAGCAATGGAAATCGTTAAAGGAGGCCTTCACTCGAGAAGGGGTTCTATAACACAAACCAGATACTGAAAAAAACATTTAAGTTTTTTCGTTTTCCAAGACTTTTTAAGCTTATTTAATCAATTCATGGAGATACGAGTGCTTTGCCGGCCTTTTAGGTTAGGACTTTCGGATATTTAAGGATTGGGGGAGGGGAAGAATTGGGCCTGGGTAACTTCAATCATACGGGAAAACACAGCACTGCGGTTGTTTCCCTGGTTTTCTGTAATAATAAACCAGCCAGCTAGGTGGACTGACGACATCCGCTGGGTGGCTGGCAGTGGTTGGATGACTAGAGCTGAACATCAAGCCCAGTGGCGTGCAATTGGGGAGACCTATGTCCAGCAGTGGACAACATCGGGCTGATGATGATGATTTTTGTAAGTTTATTATTGAAACATAATTTTGAAGATTTAAATACCACCTTTTTGACTTAGGCCTTTTCTCTTTTAAGCGTGCGAAGGACGCGATTAAATATATAACATTTCTCATAATCACTTACATGACACTGAACCCAATCAAAACTTTTGCATTTGTACTGCGGTTTAGCGAAGTTAGTTTCCGTTCCTAGCGAAAATGGATCCAAGCGTGGAATCTTGCAACCTTTTTCTGTATTTACACTGTTGAAACCATGCACGATTTTGTCCTTTATTTTAACAAATCTGTAAGAAGAAAGAGGAATTGGTAAAGACCATTTTTTTCTATGTAATAAGTCGGCAAACGATCAGACGGGTTACCTGTTGGTAAGCAATCAGCGCCGCCCATAAACATGCAACAGAGGAATTCCGAGTGCGTTGCCAACCTTTTGGAGATAAGGGATTTGGAGACTTAGGCATTGGGGGAGGGGAAGGATTGGGAATCCGAACACCTCTCTCACACGGCGAAGCACAACGTGTGTTTAACTGTGGTTATTTCACGCCGGTTTTCTCTCAGGTGCCGTGCTATCACTCCGGTCGAAGCTTGACTCTCCCACACTCAAAATTTGGATTAGATTAGGCCTCCAGTTACCTCACTTGCACGCCAATATTCTATGAGGCCTTAGTATCATTCCTATACAACTGGTCTATTCGTGCATGACTCTTACACAATGACCACACTAAATCTATAAATAATAAATAATCACATACTGTCTACTAGTGACACTGATATCCTGAATCATGTCTTTAGCTTGGTCCATGCTGATGAAGATGATCGGGCTGACGCACATTATCAATAACACGACCAGCATTGGTCTTCTGATGCGCCACAGGAACGATAACATTTTAGACAGCTGGAAATATGGAGCGTGATTTTAATGAAAGAAACAGATTTTTTATTTTACTTAGATTAATACCCAAAATAGAGTTTGTCTGAAATTCTTCTGTACTAGTGACGGTAGCTACACGTACAGGTATAGTGAGAGGAACTGGGACGCCGTCTCCTCCTTTTGTGAAGCAGTCATGCTCGCAAAAAGAGAGGCGGTCCGCGTGAGGGAGCAATCCTTCTCCTCAGGCCCCAGCAGCCGCAACTGGCGACACTACGGGCGTCGGGATCAAGGGACGATCTCCGGCCACCTTAAGCACGGGCCTGCGGTCGGCAAGTAAGGGCAGCTCGCCGCCCGACCAGAACCAGGCCCGAACGTACGGCGCGTAGCGTTCCGCGCGCGCCTCAAAGAGCCAATAGACCACCACAGACGGGGCCCTAAGGGGCTGATGCTCAGCCGGGGTTGCGGGGTAAGCGCAATGAGGCACCGCGACCTCAGCACAGAGCAGGAGAAGGAACAGGGGGGTTTTTAGTCAGTAAGAGTCTGACACTCCCTCCCGCCAGGCCCTGGGCGGGAGAAGTCATTTGATGATTTTCCCCTCACAAAAAAAAGCTACACTTACAGGTATACATGACAATGTTTCGCAAATCCTACATTACGCAAGTGAAGTTCGCTCGCGAATAAACACTGATAGAAAATTTCCAACCTTCAACTGTCAGGCAGTAGCCCGTCAGGCACGATCACCTCACCTCCTTTTCCGGTCTTAGGGAACTTTATTCGCTGTTACCTAAAGATTTACGTTGAGAAGAACGAGTATTTTTTAAATATATGATAACACTAGCTTTTGCCAGCGACTCCGTTCGCGTGGAATAGTGACTTCATGCAGATTTTCGGTATAAAAACTATCCTATGTCCTTTCTCAATTTCCAAAATAGTCTAAGTCTGTACCAAATTTCACAGAAATCGGTTCAGGAGTTTAGGCGTGAAGAAAAGACAGACCGAGTTACTTTCGCATTTATAATATTATAGTTTGGATTATCATAACTACTTCTCAGGCCTTGGGTAAGCCGAAAGGTAGTGCTAGACTCTTATTGACTAATAAACATCCAGTTCCTTCTTCTGCTTCGAGCCGAGGTCGCGCTAGATTATTGCGCTACCATCCGCAACCCCGGTGGAGAAGTTAGAGCAAAAATGCAAAGGTTCCATTTTGTCTATATATCTTTAAGCAAACTGACTTCTGGATTACTTTCGGTGTTCCTTCGAAGAATATCTTAACCTGACCTTCATAAAGGCCTATTTGTCCACCTTCTTTTATGTACCTGGTAAACTTATAGGTACATGTAGGATATTTCAGAACAAAAAACGTTCATCATTATTCATCTGATAAGTACACAATGAAAAAAATAGGATATGATCTAACTACGAAAAGTGGGTGTCTCAAAAATACGAAAAGTGGGCACGCCACGTTCTTTCACTCTCGAGGTACGTATTTCAGTCTTTTTTTAAAAAAAAAAACTTTGTCTCTCTCTCTCCTCTAGGATTTTCTCCCGTGTCGTGGGTGCGTTTACAAACATACAATTTCACAGGCACATCACACCCAAACCCGGAACAACAATCTGTAGATCACATAAAGAGTTGTTCCGTGCGGGAATCGAACCCGCGACACGTTGCACGGCAGCCAGTTGCCCAGCCACTGTGCCAATCGTGCAGTAAACTGCGTTTAACTTTTTGTTCATTTATAAATAATAGACTAGCGACTAGCCCCGGCTTCACAGGTGTATAATGTTAGAACACAATTTCTCCACTATTTATTAGGTGTTATTATACATATATACCTTCTTCTTTTACCTATTAATCGTGGTAATTTGAGACTTGATACACAAAAAGAGTACGATGCGTCCGCTTGGAGTTTGAATGAATTAATTAATCACTATTTATGAAAAAAAAACCGCATGAAAATCCGTTGCGTACCTAGTTTTAAAGATTTAAGCATACATAAGGATATAGGAACAGAGAAAGCGACTTTGTTTTATAATATGTAGGTAGTGATTTAAAATGCACTTACCGTCACCAACATCTTTTAGAAGATATTCTATATCTTTTACGTTTATGGAACAAATCCGATAACTCTTAAAAAGAAAAATGCTCAAAGAATATATTACAAATCGCCCTAAAGTAAGAATGCCGTAAAGTTAATATGTATTATTAAATATCCCGCTTTGTTGTCACTTTACCCATGGAATTCTTCTTCCGTAATTATACTTTATTATAAATAGTCATTGCCATGGTCTCCGAAACCATCTTTGCCCCACATGTCACGAAAATCGATGACGTACCACAGATCAAAAAATAAAAAGAAAATCCTTATAAAAATGTCCTTAACAGAAGAGAAGATTGACGAAGAAGGTTTCGAGAATGAGAATCCATGGCACATGAGTAGGTAGCTACTTATAATAACTGAAAGAGGAAGTAAAGCAAATAGGCGATGTTAATTCATAAATTATTTATGACTAGCTTTTGCCCGCGACTCCGTGCGCGTAGAATAGTGACTTCCTGCAGATTTTTGGTATAAAAACTATCCTATGTCCTTTCTCGAGTTCCAAACTATGTCTCAACCAAATTTTACAGAAATCGGTTCAGTAGTCTAGGAGTGAAAAGAAAAGACAGACAGTGTTACTTTCGCATTTATAATATTAGTTTGGATGATAAAGGGCTTATGAGGAATGAAAAACAACCGAATAAACAAGAAAATCTAAAATAGTTATTTTTCAAAGGGGGCTTGTTTGTGTGTCAGGTTTTAACTGACTAAAATCCACCTTGTTCCTTGTCCTTCACCAGGCCGAGGTCGCAAAACATTGTTGAGTATGACCCTAAAACCATGACTGAAGAGAAGTCAGCCCTTTTGGGCCTCACCTGTCGTTATCTAATGGCTCATTTTGGCTTCAGTTTAAGTCATTAACTGCCGGCAATCAAGTGTTGAGAGCAAAGAATTTGGCCCACATGGTGTCCCCAAGGCCTATGAGATTATAGTACCTAAAGATATCCAAAAAAGATTTGCTACATTTCTTTGAACTAACAATCATCATCACAATTAGCTGCTTTACTTCTTTTCCTTGCCATCTTTATCTCATTAGAGTTTAAATCTTTGCAATCTATCTAAACTAATATTATAAAGAGCTAAAATTTGTAAGTTTGTATGTAGGGGGTAATCTTTGGAACCGCTGATCAGATTGCCAAAATTCTTTCACTGATAGATAGTTACAATGTTCCTGAGTGCTATAGGCTAAAGGCTAAAAACATCACGCTACAATTAAATGGAGCCGATCAACGGGTGAAACCCCGCGAGAGTGGCTAGTCAATTACAAAATCGTTAGTATTTAGAGAAACATTGTACACTTTACGACACGTATGTCAAACTTCTATAACAGCTTCATCCAAAGGTTGTCTTAAGAGATCGCCTCGTGCGATAAGACCCCTCAAAGTACACAATATTTTTGTAAGTTGTCCTCTGTCACTATAATGTAGAATAAAGTGTATATAATAGTAGGGGAGCCCATGAAGGAATTTTGGTAGTTACTGGAGCGCGTCAGATCAACATATGGGGAATATTTAGTAACCTATTGAATATACCCATCATATATTTAATGTAAATAGAGGAGGGGGATTACAATATAAAAAGATAACTAAATACAGTTGTTTTCGTCAGATTAGGGGGGAAAAGGTAGATATCATGTCAAAGAAAGGATCACACAAAATCTGCCGATTTCATCGTGGTTTACAACAGCAATAGAGTTTTGAACGGGTCCCGTTTCTATCCCCTTAGTTAGCCAACCCCACCAGGCGATGCGGAAGATTAAAATATTTTCATTGTCAGAGATACATGGAGAATATACATTATTAATATCTGTCACACTCGTGCACTAAAACAAAAGTTACACCTTACAATATTGGATAGTTTTCCAAAATTGTAAGGTGTAACTTTTGTCATTACTTACATACAACTTATTTCATTCCCCCCTACCCCCACCGGAGGATGAAATGTCATTAAGGCAATTTTTCTTTCTGTCACCAAATCTTCAGAATCCAGCTTCTCCTTACGACGCTTGAGTAACTACAAATTTGGCATCCTGGGCTCCCCTACTATAAATAAATAGTCTATGTATAAAGTACTATAATATTTATATGTATAGGTATCTATTTAAGTTTCTATTAATGTCCTACCTATGTAAATCGCTTAATTTATTGCCTCGAAGCTACAGTACAGAATTATTGACACGTATACGAATTTAACTGATTATGAAATTATCAATAAATAAATTGTGTATATTTTTCCTATAAATACGAATGATTTAATGAATTGTTATTGACCCTTGAAAGGGCAAGGAGATTACGCAATGAAACAAATACGTTTATAAATAAATAAATAACTATTATTGCTCAAAACACGGACGTAACAATCTTATCAATCATGTAAGTATGTGACAGGGTTCTTTAACTTTATCAAATGATCCTCTACTACATAAATAGGTTCTCCTAACCTATTAAATACTAATTCTTTCAAATCAACTATAGAAGATACTTTGTCTAAAGCGTATTTGTACTTATTGTACACATACAGTCCATTAGTTGTGCTAACAAATGGTTTATAATTAAAGTCTACTGTTATAGCATCCACAGTGAACCTTTCATGAGTGTTTACAGCTCTTGTACCTATCTTCACTCTGAATAATTTTCTATTTTGCAAAAAAAACATATTATACTCATCATCAACTATTAACTTATCTATTGCTATCCCTTGGACCTCTTGTAACGGACTAACAACACCATAGTCAAATCTATAAGCTTCTCTACGTTTGTTTACGAAGAATATAACATCTTTGAAGTACAAATATTGTATGTTGTCCTTAACTGGTAGTTGTTCTGGTACTTTATTATCGTTTAAGAAGAATAGACCGTCTGCTCCACCAACGTATACTCTGTTTCTTCTCTGGTCTACTGTAACACCTGAGGCATTTCTTATACCTTCTATAATGCCGGTGGATTTCGTGTCTAGATTGAAGAAAGCAAGGCCTCTCATAGGTTCTTTGGCGATTTGATCGTATGTGAAATAGAGAGTATTATCATTGTCATTCAATGCTAGCTGATGGATGTTGTTGATGCCTTCCTTCAAGATGTCCACTTCGTAGCATTTCCTATTGAAGATTACGCCGAAACACTTTTCCGAGGATGCCGCAGATATGAGGGCCGTGAAGAAGAAGATTAGGGCCTGGAAAAAGAAAATTTGTTTTTAGAACAGTGTCATTCTCTTTTGTCTATAGTAATATTATATAGAGGTAAAGTTTGTAAGTTTGTATGTATGTGGTAATCTTCGGAACCGCTGGTCGGATTTCCAAAATTCTTTCACTAATTGATAGCTACAATGATTCCGAGTGCTATAGGCTATAAAACATCACGCTACAGTCAAAGGAGCCAAGCAGCGGGTGAAACCGCGCGGGAGTAGCTAGTCTATACTAATATTATAAAGAGGTAAAATTTGTAAGTTTCTATGTAGGGGATAATCTTTGGAACCGCTGGTCGGATTTCCAAAATTCTTTCACTAATTGATAGCTACAATGTTTCCGAGTGCTATAGACTATAAAAGATCACGCTGCAATCAAATGGAGACGAGCAGCGAGTGAAACCGTGCGGGAGTAGCTTGTCAAGTATATTGCCATATTAAGGTGATGTCGTGGCATCAGAGTTACCTATAGTCCTTTCTTACTGTGGGCCTTTTTTATCAGATAGATCGACAAACGAGCAGACGGATTACCAGAAGAGAAGCAATTGACGCCGACCATGGAGAACCGTAGCATCAAATGTGTAACGACTTTGCCGGCCTTTTGGTACTTAATTAAGGTTTTGGGTATTCAAATATTGTAGATATATTATTATTATTATATTGTAGATTGATGGAGCGAGAGGAAGGATTGGGCCAATTAGTTTTTCACATCCACTCGAAGAGTAATTTTTCACACTCGCAAGTAGTAGATAATATATGTGTGTGACGTCAAAAGTATTCTTCGATACGAGTATGGTCATGATACGGTTGAGTACATTTGAGAACTAACTATGACGACCATTATCATTTAAAAGGCCATCCATGGAAATTATGAGTACAATAGGCAGCAGATCAAGCTACCTAAATGGCAGTTTTCTTCAATACATTTTGGACTTTATCGCAAAAGCATAAAGTTATAAATATACAGAAGGAAGTTTGTAAATTAAAGTGCTGTTGTGTGGTTTGTTAGTAAAATTGGATTGTTATGCTTTATCACACAATTTTATGTTTGTTGAGTGGTTGTAATAGCGACTACCGAACAGGGGATATAGGATTCGATTGCTGAACTTAAAATGTATGCTTGGAAAAGGAATCAATCTACTAGATGACTACTTATAAGCAGGTCAACTAGGTGCACAAGTAGTAAGCTAAAATATTACCTAACTAGCGCCTCGATCCCGCTTCGCTCGGGCCAATCTACTCCACATTTTTCCCACTACTAATCTAATATTTTCTGTGACAAAAACGTTCTCCTAAGAATAATAAATACAAAAAAAGAAGAATGGGTAACATTGGTGCAAGCGTTGTTGAGTTATGCATCATCATCATCATCATCATCAGCCTATAAGTGCCCACTGCTGAGCAAAAGCCTCAATCAAATCAAATCAAAATCATTTATTCCAACTAAACCATAAATAGGTACTTTTGAAACGTCAAAATAGAATAGTAGTCTGTCAGTCTGTTCGTCAGTGAAGCTAGGTGCTCGTCCTTTCGAATGGAGAAGAACGAGAAAGAAATTCCATCGCCACTATTTTAAAAAAATATTATTTCTTTTACAATTCACTAATAATATTTTTTTATACATTACTGTACCCCTATGTGAGAACAATGCAGAGACAAGTCTGTTGTTAATAAAAAGGAACAAACGATGGTATCTATCATTAAAATTTTAATCCTTAGTCGTCTCGAACATGGCGCTCACATATGCGTACTCACAATCCAAAAGAATGCTTCTATATAAACATCATCATACAAGGTTTCATTAATTTTGAGAATTTTAGTAACTACTCTTCTCAGAATACATGGATAGTACATTAAGGGGTCGTCCACAAATTACGTAAGGTGTTTTTTTATATATTTTCGACCACTCCCTCCCCCCCTGGTGAGAAATCGTGAGATTTTATTCAACCCCCTCCCACATCCCCGAATCTCACGTGAGATTTTTCAAAATGTGAGTTACTTACGTAAACGCTTTGGATTGTTATTGTAAAAAAAGAAAAAACTAATTTGCATCGTCCCTTTATAAGTAGATAAATGATCTTAATCGTACTACGATTACGCTTAAGATTAAATCTTAAGCATGTACAATCTGGATTAAAAATAGACCAAAATAGTATTTTTTTTGTTTCAATTCGATTGAACGGGCGCCGTCAAATGGGACTGGTCAGCTCCGGACTGTCTGGTTATTTTCTTTTTATGTTTCTCTGTATACACGCGTTACACTGTTCTCACATATTCAAACTAACTAAATAATGTATCAAAGAATGTTTATGTGACACTGATTTTAAAAGAGTGTTTACTGATTTTAAAACAACATGGAGTTTCTTGCTCGTTCTTCTCCATCGGAATCTACACTTTGGAACGAGCGAATAGCTTCACCAAGAGGACTGACCGACAGACTGACACTTTGTATCTTTAAAGTTGTGTTGACGTTCAAAAGTGCCCGTATGGGTCTAATTGAAATAAATGATTTTGACTTTTGACTATAAACGATTTTTTTTGAATTAGAATAAAATTTGCGTGATATTTGACGAGACCCCCTCTCTCTAACGTAAGATTAGATGAGATTTGACTCGACCCCCTCCCCCCTTAAACACCTCACGTAATTTTTGGACGCCCCTTTATGGTATACCTATGTACCTATTAAAGTATTTATATATGTTTAGGTACTTAATTGACATATTATACTGTATGTACATCCAAGGACAAATCCATTAATACATTGTGTATGATTCCGGAAAACCACCTTTATATATAAAGGCAAATGATTTATTTTCGCATTTATTATACTTAGGTTGGTACTCAATAAGTACCAAAAATATTCAAAAATCAATTCTAATGATTGATTGCACGGTTGGCGCGGTAGTTGGGCAAATGGCTGCCGCGCAACGTTTTATGGTTTCGAATTTTCGATTCCCGCACGGAACAATTGTATATTTGTAAATGCACCCACGACGCAGGAGAAAATACTAGTGCGGGGGCAAAGTTTTTTTTTTTTAAATAGTAAATTAAAGACATTTAGTTGTTTTTACTTTTTGAGGTACTCCTTTTTTATGTATCGATATCGATAGATCGGCAAACGAGCAGACGGTAAGTTATCAGCGCTGCCCATGGACACCCGCAATGGAGGGGTTACGAGTGCGTTTCCGACCTTTTAGGGATTAGGGATTTGGAGATTTAGGGATTGAGGAGGAAAAGGAGTGGGGAAGGATTGGGCCTTCGGTGATTGACCCATTCCTGCCGAAGCATGGCTCTCCCACACTTAGGGCCCACTTTTAGGGTTTTTACACTTAGTTCGACTAGCCTAAAGCCTTCCTTGATAAATGGACAAACCAATGCATAAAGAATTGTTCAATACCCATCCGTAGATTAGCGCGTTCAAGTTCAAACAAATAAACAAACTATTCAGCTATAAATAGTTTTTATGACAAATTACTTACAAGCACTTAATATTAAAGCCTAATATTTCCCCTCCCCCAATCCTAAAATCTCCTAATCCCTAATCGCCAAAAGGTTGGCGACACACTCGAAACTATTATGCAGGAATAGGACGGCCGGACCGGAGTGACACCACGGCCTCACAAAAAATTGGTTTGAAACCACCACAGCGTGTTTCGCTGTGTGAGGTTACCGGAGGCATCCTTGCCGCCATACCCAATCGACAAATAACTAACCTCCAAAGGCCGGCCTCGCAATATATTGCGGGTATGAATACATGTGTGGCGTCTACGCCGAATGCTTACCACCAGGTAAAAAATGGAATTTCTGTCAGAAATCAAACCAGGTACTTAGATGTTATTGTTTGCGATTTACCTATATACTAATATTATAAAGCTGAAGAGTTTGTTTATTTGAACGCGCTAATCTCAGAAACTACTGGTTCAAATTGAAAAAAATATGTTTGTGTTTAATAGACCATTTAATGGGGAAGGCTTTATGCTATAAAATATCACGCTACACTCTGTAGTAACTGTACCGCGCGAGAGTAGCTATTTTCCAATACAACACATAAAGGCAAGTATATAAAACCAGCATATCATGGTCCCACTTTGTTATGATTACTTTATATAGGTATATACATTTTATACTGGTTATATTTTGTCTGATTTGTAGCCGTGTTTAAGTCTTATATTAAAACAAATCAAAATTGGTAAAATATTTAACAAATGTTAGATCTATACTTAATATTATAAAGAGGTAAAATTTGTAAGTATGTATGTAGGGGGTAATCTTTGGAACAGCTGGTCGGATTTCCAATATTCTTTCGCTTATTGATAGCTACAATGTTCCCGAGTACCTACTATAGACTAAATCATCACGCTACAATCAAATGGTTAATAGTACATTATAAACAAAGTTGTGTTAGTTGATTAGTTGCAACTCAAGAACGTCAGAACTTATTTTGTCAAAATTCAATTTGTTCAAACCAATATTTTTTTTTCTTGGACAAGTTGGCCAGGCAATACAAAGATGGTTTTCAAATAAACTAGCTTCTGCCAGCGGCTTCGCCCTTCCTGTGTTATTGGAGACTAAAATCTATCTCTTTGCAAGATCTCATTCAAATCCATTCAGTTGTTTTTACGTAAACGAGCAACAAACATACATACACCTCACAAAATTTAATATTATCAATATAAGTAAGAAAACATATCTAGAATGTATTGATTTTTATAAACATAAATAAAATTAAGTATATATAATGCGACTTACGTGCATTTTCGTGTACAATTTCCGCTATTATAGGTGCGCACGCGCAGTCATATCGAACGTATAAAGCGAACTGGCCGATTTGTTTGTATAGAAGGCCATTGGGGCGTGACATTGTCTACCAGACAGACTGTACTTTAGCGGGAAATGATGTAATCAATATCAGTATAATACAGAAGATACTAGATTAATTATTTATTATATCTATGTATAATTTAATTAGTAGCAAAGTATGATACGTT